TTGTAAGTTTCCTGAGGCCTCCCCAGTCATGCTGCCTGTATTGCCTGTGGAACTATGAGTCAATTAAACCTCTTTTCTTCATAAATTACCCAGTCTCTGGTATGTCTTCATAACAGTGTGAGAATGGACTAATACAGAAGGAGGAAATTTCCATTTTGTATTTATCAACCCAGTACGAGGTCACTATCCATAAATTTACACCTCATAATACATCTCCAGGTGCTGTGCATGTTGAGCTCTCTCCTCCAGATGGACTGAACTCCTTTACATTATCTTGCTCTGTGTCTCATCCATTTTCTCACTCATGCTGTTTCATACCTCCCTGTCCTGGAAAGGCTGAGACCTCTACCTGAAGGGCCTGAATCACTTCACCTCTCCAGATAATCACCTCCTCCATGAAGCCTTCTCCTTCAACTTGCATTAGTCAGCAGGTATTTACTGGAGGCTCATTTTGGCTGGGCCTGGTGGCTCAGGCCTATCATCCCAGCACTTTGAGGGGCCAAGGTGGGCAGATCATGAGGTCAGGAGATAAAGACCATCCTGGCGAACACGGTGAAATCCCATCTCTACTAAAAAGAATACAAAAATTAGCTGGGCATGATGGCATGCACCTATAGTCCCAGCTACTCAGGAAGCTGAGTCAGGAGTATCTCTTGAACCCGGGAGGCAGAGGTTGCAGTGAGCCAAGATTGCACCACTTACTTTAGCCTGGCAACAGAGTGAGACTCCGTCTCAAACAAACATACAAAAAGAGAAAGCTCACTCTGTGTAGGGTACTATGGTATGTTCTCTTGGGAAACACAGAGAGGTATGAGCCATGTTCCTGGCTTTGGAGTCCTGTCATCAAGAGAACCCCAAGATATATCCCAGGATATCTATGGGTGTAGAATTCATCTGGAAGTAGAGAGGCATGCTAAGCCACAGCACACTGTGAGTAAGAGTTGGCACATCAATCTGCATAAGCATTTGGGAGAATGAGGACACAGGGCAGTTTACTGACAGCACTGCACAGTTTACTTGGGACATAGGGGCTATCAGTGGCTTCAGGCCTGCATATCAGACTGAAAAGTATGGATATCTTCTATAGCCAGTGATAAGATATTAAAGGTTGTTAAACATAGAAATAACAAAGTGAAATATGTTTTCTTACTAGAATGAATCAGATGATCTTATGTATGAATATGTTGTCTATAAATATAGTAATCTGGTGAAATAGAATATAAACTTCTTGGCAGAGCACAATGGCTCATGACTATAATCTCAGCACTTTGGGAGGCTAAGGTGGGAGGATTGCTTGAGGCTAAGTTTGAGACAAGCCTGGGCAACATAGTGAGACCTTGTCTCCATGCAAAATAACAAAAACATAGCTGGGTGTGGTGGCATACACCTGTAGTTTTAGCTACTCCAAAGTCTGAGGCAGGAGGATCCTGGGAGCCCAGGAGTTTGAGGCTGAAGTGAGCTAAGGTTATGCCACTGCTCTGCAGCCCTGGATAACAGCGAGATGATACCCCAACTTTAAAAGAATAATAATAAGTAATGATAATACAAATTTCTTGAGGAGTTAGTGGCTTTGGATTTCATTTTATAGAAAACTGCTGACGGGATGAAGTGATGATAACAATAATTGCTGACATTTGGTGAGCACCTATTATGTGCCACCCACTTTGCTGACAGTACTACCCTTAAGCCTAGGCACCCCCGCGGAGCAAAGCATGTGTGGGGCAAGTGGATGTGCCCTATCAGAGCCTGCACCAACCCTCCTCAATTCCAGCACCACCCCTGGCTTTTTGCCCATCCTCCGGACCTCACTACTCTCTCCCCAGATGGCCCTAAGTCACTTTCAGTTCCAGCATGGACCTCTTCCCTAGGGTCCTAGGCTGACAGTATCCAAGGGGAGCCTATTTGCTGGGTGGTGATGAGGGAGAGGGAGAAGGGCAACAAGCAATGTAGACAGCGCCTCGTTCATAATCTTCCCTTGAGCCCCACAAATATATTAGGAGCAGGTCATATGCTATGTGCTTGAGCTATCTGATTCAATCCTTTAAAAAATCCTGCCAGGTTTCTACATTATACTGAGAAGCAATAGGGCAAAGAGGTTAGGGAGACAGTCTAAGGAGACACAGCATGTAAATGGGGGAAGGCAGGATGCACGTTGAGATCTATTTCACATTGTATATTTCAGGACCATCGTGTAGCATGACTTCATTCACATCGTGTCAGGTGAATGTGCCTTCTGGAGTTGGGAACTGCACAGAGAGCACGGTTGCACCAGGTAGCTATTAAAAGAAACAATGATTCATTCACAACATCCAACTCATTCACTGTGCTTAGCCTCATATCTCACCCGTTACCCTGACCCTATTCCCCGTTTGGGTCATCTAGAGCCAGCAGCGTGGGCTCCTGAATGTGCAGCATCTTCTGTCCGCTGCTCTCCGGTACACATGTGTGTGCTTGAGAATCCATGTGTCTTTTAATCATGAGGTTTAAAATGGGTAAGTTTATTTCTAGGGAAATGGCAGAAATGCCTTTCCAGGTGGGAGGGCATGACATTTCTGCCACGTGCCACCTCAGCCCCTCTTGCTTCCCCCACAAAGGAGTATTTTAATAGAAGGTTAATGGAGGGCACATGGAGCAAAAAGAAAACCCTGTCATCGTTACTCCATGTTTTACTGTAATAGAGGTCAGCTCTCCCGCATTCTTCCTAGTATCCATCTTTAAAATGAATTGTTTAGCCTATGAAAACAAAAGTAGTTTATTTATGATGACAGAGAAGCTGTAAATGTGCTCCTGATCTGTGCATTGACTAATTAGATTAATTAAGCCTGCATGCATTTCAGAACAGGCAGGCAGGTGGCAAATACCATTTGAGATGATTTATATGATATATTCCATCAAGCTTACACTTGATAAATAATATCACATTCATTCCATTAAGATATCGAAGTGGAAGAAGAAAACAGTGCATTCTTGGCTCTGTGCTCCTACCGAAAGAGCAACTGTTGAGGTTAAAACACTAGGCATAATTCACTCTCCTCAAGACAGTGAAGAAAAAAATAAAAATTTTAAAAACCACACAAGCCAAATCGCAAACTCAAGTTTGTCTCAGGTAGTCCCTTGCCTTATGCAGCAGTAGTTTTTTGCTGCTGCAGTGGAATTGAATTTTAGGAATAGAGATGAGATTTGAATATTAATTAAGCCATTGCAGCTTGCTACCAAATTTTGCTAGAAGCTCCCATACTGTGGTTCTTTACTCACCAACCTGCTTTCTGTGGCTACTCTGGTAAATGAGGGTGAAACTGGCTGACTATAAGGTCCTTCTTTCTATGATTTTCAAATTTCAACATGCTTAAGAATCACCGGAAATGTACACGTGCACATTCCTGGCTCTTTTTCCCGGTAGACCTGGATGAAGCCCCATAGTCTTTTATTTTTTATTTTTGTTTTTATTTTCTTTAATCAACATCTAGGATATCAATATTATTCCATACCAATAAGCTCACACACCAAGAAGTGAATCCCTGATTTTATCTTTGGTCTTTCAAAATTCTCAAGTTTGTTAAATATATTAGATCTGCTTCTTCTGTTAGAGTAGTGAGGATTTTTCAAAGTTTGGTCAATGGACTATTGCATTAGAATTTCCTAATGCAATTCTAACAGTATAAAATTCAGATTCCCGGGCTTCACTTGAAACCTAATGTATCCAAAACTATAAAGGAGAATATATATTTCAACAAACTACTCATATAATTCTTATGCATACTAAAATTTAGACCACTGCTTTTGATCAAGTAATATTTGATGTAGAGGTAACAGTAAATTATTTAGAGTCTCCTCTGTATCCTCCCTGCAGTCATAGTTCCACCTAGAAGGCAAAGATGTATTATGTCTGACCCTGCCTAGCTCAGTAATCTCTTAAAGAATGAATTTAGGCCAAGATTAAAGATAGGGCTGGAATGGTCTGTCCTCCAGACCACTTTGGCCTCCAACTCCTTTTGATTGATTTCCTAAAGGTCTATGAAAAGTTGCTACCATCTAGTTGAGGGCTGCTCTCAAGTTGCCCCCAGGACACCAGGGAACAAATGATTAGGGGGCAGTCCCCTGAGCTACTGCTGCTTTGGTGCAATGGTGTAATATGCAGGTGACGTTGCAATGACTAATGGCAGAAATTGATGTGCCAGACAGACCCTAATCAAAACCTGACACCCTCCCCGGTCCAGGAAGAGTTAATAATCTTTATTATTTCAGCAAAAAGGCAGGCCGAGAGGCAGAAGAGAAGTCTTCAGGGTAGAGAATGACAGAGCGATGTGGCAGCCAGGTAACCAAGGAAAAGGGCAGCCTGCGTGCTACAGAGCATATCACCCAAAGCCAAGGCTGTACCAGGGTCACTGCACAATGCATGTGTATAAGCTTTGCACAATCATGTAGCCAGAGATAGAGGATAGTCTGATAATTATAATGAGAATTCTAATTATAAGATGTTATCATTTCATCCCAGACTGCATCAGACAAGGATAAGCTGAATGGAAAAAGAGACCCTTGAAACATGAGGGGAGAGAACTTTGCACAAGACCAGAACAGACACCCCTCCCTTAATCTAGTACTGGCTAAATTATCACTCATTTCACAGTGAGAAGGAAGTAGAAATTGATTTGAGAGACTCCTCAATATCCTTCATAATTCTGGCAGTAATTTCTTTGCTCATTACTATTAATACTACTGTTTTCTCCTTCCCTAGTGGAGATTCAGGTCATTTGCAATGAACCCCGTGTTTATCTTCAACATGTTCCCAAAGAAAGAACCTCCAGGTATCAATGCATGTAGAAATCTTAGAGGCGTAAATGCTCTTTGGTATATACAGAAAAGGTTCTAGTTCACACAGTGGGAAAAACCTTGTAAACAGCGTTCTGCTGGAACATCTTTCTGAATGGGTGAGCTACATTGGAGCACAATGAAAGGAACGACACCACATTTTAAATGCCTTACCTCATAAAGCATTGCTGTTAAGATGTTCTTTATCAAGCTGTAATTTCAAGATTATACACAGTTAAGCAGTTTTCCTTTAGAAACGAATGTCTAGTGGAAACCCAGCTCTCGAGCAGTCTGCACATCTGTAGTTTCATCCTAACAGTGGCTTGCTCTACTCTGGACCCATCAGGCAGCAGAGAGAGGAAAATAGAATCATCAATAAGTTTGGGCAGGTGTGTGTGTGTGTGTGTGTATGTGTGTGTGAACAGCACATGATTTTGTCCTATCTTTTCAATTGCTAATGTTAATTAGGCTTCTATATCCTTATGACTGTTTGTATGTTTTAGGTTTCATTTTATGCTCTGCCAGTTTTTAAAATGCTCTTAAGTGCCTTACAATAAAAGACACGCAAAAGGTTGGTTTACTAAAAATAAATAGAGAATGTCAAGTGTACCTAAAGAAAGTGCATTGCTAATCCAAAAGGCAGTCATTTTTACTACAATTGAGCATTACATTTTGCTATAAACTTCCTCAAAGTCAAGGCAAACATGGAGATGATATGTATACAGAATCTCTATTATTTAGAGGAAAGAATATTTACCAATTCTTTAAGACCTGAAACTATAAATTCACCTATTTAAAGTATGCATTTGGCAAATGTTTGTGTTAAATGTGTAACCATTATCACATCCATAGAACATTCCACGATCCCAAAAAGGCCCCTCAGTCCCCTTTACCATCAATCCTTCCCCTAATCTTGGGCCCTGGGAACTGTTCTACTTCCATTCACTACATGTTTCCATTTCCTATAATTTCAAGTATAGGAAATCATACACTATGTAGTTCTTTATGTCTGATTTCTTTCACTGAATAGGGTGCTTTTGAGTTTCAGCCATACGATTTTATATATCAGCAGGTTGCTCCTTTTTATTGCTGAGTAGTATTTCATTGCAGATGTGAATCACAATTTGCTTATCCATTAATTGTTTTTTTCAGTTTTTGGCTATTATCAATGAAACCATTATGAATTTCTGTGTGAAGTATTTGTGTGGAGACGTGTTTATTTCTCTTGGGTAAATGTACAAGAATTGTTTCACATTCTTGTTAGGCTTAGTATTATTGGTTTTTTTGTTGTTGTTGTTTTAGCTGGTCTAGTGATTGTGTAGTGGTATCTCTTTGTGGTTTTAATTTGTATTTTCCTAATGACTAATGATATTGAGCATTTTTTCATATGCTTATTTGCCATTTATATATGTTTGGTAACTGCTCAAATTTTTGCACACTTCTTATCAAGTTGTTTGCCTTATTTACACTGATACTGGCTTTCCTCTTTTTCGACAGAATCTTGTTCATCAGTACAAATCAGTCTGGATTGAAAATCCGTTTTTAAACTTAAACATAAGCCAGATGGCATAGGAGTACGATGTCAGAAAGGGAGTAACATATTTTAAAATTCTAAGTAAAATAAAAACAAATAACCCAATAAACCATCAAAGTTCTTAGGTGCCTCAGGGCAAAGGAAAAAAGACCGGGTAAAATACAAACCACTTCTAAGCCTGTAATCCCAGCGCTTTGGGAGGCTGAGGTGGGTGGATCATAAGGTCAAGAGATCGAGACCATCCTGGTCAACATGGTGAAACCCCGTCTCTACTAAAAATACAAAAAATTAGCCGGGCATGGTGGTACGTGCCTGTAATCCCAGCTACTCAGGAGGCTGAGGCAGGAGAATTGCCTGAACCCAGGAGGCGGAGGTTGTGGTGAGCCGAGATCGTGCCATTGCACTCCAGCCTGGGTAACAAGAGCGAAACTCCATCTCAAAAAAAAAAAAAAAAAAAAAAAAAAAGACAAACCACTTCTGAGTTCAGAGGTCAGGATTGACAGTAAAGTTTCCCATTTGGGGATCCATGGATCTCCAGATTAATAAAACTAATTCAACAGACAGACTAAGATATTTTTGGGGACCTGAGGAGCATGTGTTTACCTACAGAGCAACTAAAGGCAGACACAGAAGACTGAAATTGGTGTTTCTAAGCCAGTTTTCCAGGTGCCAATCCTGGTGTTCTCTGGTGGCCACTCCTTATCATTGCATGATTCTTCCTCAGTAGGTGGAGGAAGCAACCTCCAGCCAACAGAACCTCCTGAGAGAGCAGACAGAACACCAGACAAGGCACAGCTGACACCTGGTGTGCAGTGTATGCTCCACGAACGCTACCCTTACATTCATAATGGGTACATTTCTTATATTTTTGGGATTGGGAGGCAGCTTCAGGACCCTGGAATGTCCAAACTTGTATCAGCACGAATTTCTGAGTCAACATCCAGTGGGAAAAAAAAATCTCAAAAAGGGACCAAGAATAACAAAGGTAAATGTATTCTACATCTGTATTTGTTTTAACATGCTAGCCAGGAGTGCGGGGGTCAGAAAAATTACTTTAAAATAGTAGTCCTGTTTCTTTTGAGAAATTCGCTTGAATTCACCTTTGAGGACAAATTGCACTTTTGTTCCAGGAAAACCATCTTAATGGGCTCCTTGGATTATTTCAAGTTAAACCTGAGAAAGGAGTCCATTGGCCCTTTCAAAATGGAGCCAGGCAGGGCCCAAGCAGAAAACAGCACCGTCATGGTCCCATGGAATGTTTTCATCTGTGGATTTCAGTCACATAGTAATCAGTTCAACCTTTATGGATTTATTTACCTATGTTATCCCCTTCTATTATCTCTTCATTTCAGACTATCCCTATTGGAATAAAAAGGAACAATGCTAGAACTAAAGGAATCTGAATAAAGTATACACTTCAGTTAACAATAATTATCAGAATCTTTTGTTTTTTTTAAGACAGGGTCTCATTCTGTCACGAAGGCTGGAGTGCAGTGGCATAATCTCGGTTCACTGCTACCTCTACCTGCCAGGTTCAAGTGATTCTCACACCTGGGCCTCCCGAGTAGCTGGGACTACAGGCATGCACCACCATGGCCGGCTATTTTTTGTATTTTTTTGGTAAAAGGGGTTTCACCACGTTGTCCAGGCTGATCTTGAACTCATGAGCTCAACCTCAGCCTCCTAAAGTGAGGGGATTACAGGTATGAGCCACTGTGACCAGCCAATATTGATTTTGTAATCATGCACACATAATATACCACTTTAGACATTTTTCTGTAAATCTAAAGCTGTTCTAAAAACATTTTTTTTTTTTTCAAAAAAAAGAACAACGCTTTCACAAAGACACACCTGTGAACCCTGGGTTAGACAAACTTCACTGGTTTTTCCATTTTTTTATTAGCTCTGGTTATGTTTAACTTCACACGTTTGAGAACAAATAGAAACAGTGGGATGAAGAATTGCTGTTGTGTGTTGCCTTGCAGGGATGCAGCTTGGTGAGAAGAATGTGGTGGAGTGGTGTGATGCCTGCCAAAGGCTGTGTATAATTTATGATAACTTCCTTGTTTACTTTTTAAAGCAATTGACTTGCCTATAAAGGAGCCAAAAATTATGTAGTTTCTGTCTCCTATTAGCTTATTAAATCCTTGTAGGTATAAGCCATGCCTTCTCATTCTTTTGTGTAGCACATAGTACCCTGTATTTGGTAGGTTCTGCGTGAATAGTTGTGATTTGAATAAATATTATAAACAGGGGCATTGATGGCCATAGAACAGTCCATACATCTAATACGAGAAAGTACATGAGTTCACTTAGATTCTTATCCGTTAAATATACCAAGTGCTTGCTATGTTCTTTAAAATTGACTGCTATTAAAATTACTGAGACAATTAACTCTGCATTATGGATTCATCATATTGAAAGAGCTTCTCCACCCAGAAAAAAATAGAAAGTTTTCAGTTCAACAAGTGAAAACCATATTTTGAAAGATTAATTTCCATCTTTTTGACATCCTTGTCACTCAAAGCTAGAAAACTTGATTTAGGGGTTTCAAACTCTGTCACTTAAAACGAATTTCAAGCTGTGGATGTCTATGCAAAATTTCAGTGGTAATGTTTTCCTGGCCAAGTTGTTGCGGCCTTCAAAATAGAATTTGCAGCAGAGATTCTGGCAGGTTCTAAATGTAGCAGATTGAATATTGATATAATGTCAAAAGAGTTCCATAATTAAAGGTGTTTCTTTATAGCATTTCCCTTCACCCAATCATTAATTCAACAAATATTTATGGAGCACCACTTATTTGCCAGGCACTGCATTAGCAAGTCTTTTCTGCTTCCTGAATCATATAAGTTTAGTGAAATGAATAAATGAGCAAATGAATGAATGAGCAAATGAGCGGCTAAGAAGATACCTCCCATAAACACATTACTCCATGGCTTCTGAGCCCATTTGGGTGCTGAATATGAAGAGAAACGTGGAAACATACAAAGAACTCCTGACTCAGAATGGCTTCTTTGGAAGCCCAGGGAAGTGAAGTCTCTATGATTCCACTGGGATGTATTTTCTAACAACCCCCCTGCCAGAGGCCCAACCACTTTCCTACCCCTTTCCACCCCTTCCAGATTGCAAGCCAGTAAGACAGATGGAAAAGAGAAAGCTCTTTTAGCCAGGGAGCTGGGTATCTTTAGCTGAGTTCTTGCCTTTCTCTTCTCTCCTTCAGTTCCCACCTCCAAGCCTAAAAGAGCTTTCCCGTTTCCATCTGTCAGGAACTATGGTTAAGTCATATTCATCTCTAAGGGAGACCCAAGGCTCAGTTTCATGACCAGGTCTCTGTTTTTTATTGTTGTTGCCACTTGTTTGCTAGTTTTAGCTTCATGTTATGAGGAACTTAGAACACGCAAAAACTAAACAAAATAGTATAATAAACCTTCATATACCCATCACTCATGCCCTGAACCATCAACCAAGGGCCAATCCCACCCTATCCATCCACTTTCCCACCATCATATTATTTTGAAGAAAATCCCCAGAATCATATATTTTCAGTTATTCCCTGGACTTAATAACAGAAGACTAGATGAGAAAACCTCAGAAAAGAGGAGAAGAGTGAAAAGTAGTTAAAATACTTTATTCACTTACAGTAGGATAATTTGAAGAAGTGAAAGGATTAACCAAAGCACCCAGTTTTGAGAGCAATAGGTGAACACAGCCCCAGGAATGCAGGAATGGTAATATTCTAAATTCTTTATTGTCATTTATTTCAACAATGTTCACAGCATACTTATCAGGAGGAGATCCC